CGTTTACTATATACTTGATTTGGCTTAGTGGATCAAGGCTTTATAATATGCAATTGTGCACATACAAATCCATTTCGGACCATATATGTAATAATGTGATGTATTTTGTCAATTCATGAGAAGCTCTTATAGTTAAATTAAATACATGAGCTAATAGGACTAATGAGAAATGTCTATGGTCATATACAACAACTAAAACAAAGAAAATATATTTTTATAAATCATTCTTTGCATAGTTAATCCATTAAATCGTAAAATGGAGTTCATATGCTACTCTTTAGCAACAGCACATACAGTTTTGGAGAAGCATTGTTGTCTGTTTTCATGATTTATGTGATTTTACTGAACATAACAGCAAAACTGTGGTTTTTGATCCATTTTCACTCGTTCCAGTAACTAAAATGTTCTAATTGTATCCCAGAAAATGGGACGCCACTATGCCAGTACGTAATGTGCCAGATTAAAATCAGGTTGTGTTGCTTTGATCATCCAACTGAGACAACATGTGTTTAAGTGACTGTAATCGTGAGTCATTGCAGGCACAAAACTCCATGGAAAATTCAACTAACTTCTTCCTCAATCCTTCAAAAACCTGCCACTGCGGACCCATGCCTTTTTGCAGCATATTGATAGTAAAAAATGTAGGAAACTCTGGGATATTGTTTATTCACAGAACTGTGCCTCCAGGTTATCACAAAGGCAGCATGCTGGGTGTTAGACGTTGTGTTTGGCTGCATATTCAGGATGCACAGACTTGAGAGGAAGGAGAGAATGAGCGGTACAGAGAGGCAGAGAACAACAGAAAAGAGGGGAATTGGAAAATGCAGGTTGATTGTGGTTCAGTTCACCGGCGGGAATACATCAATATCACATGGACTGCACATCAGCTGCGAGACAAAGGTCATCCTATGTGGGGAACAAAAAAGAAAGCATGCAGGATATAGAAGACGTACTGTAGCTCGACAGTGTTTCCAGTTTGTTGCTTCATGTGAGAGGGAAGGGAGGTGTGATTTGCCTTTTAACATCTCACTGGTGGAGGTTATTATTGCCTTTGTTTTAACACTCCACACTGGACATGGACATTATATTATTTTGTAGAAGCACTTTTTGCATTTCATTAATAAGTAATAATAATAATAACGCTTTATTTATATAGCACTTTTCATACAACACATGCAGCTCAAAGTGCTTTACAGAATGACACATCACAAGTTAAAAACAAGAAATTCCCCTCAGATTATTTGTTAAGAACTTTAAAAGGTACACACAGCAAAACATAACATCTGACCAAAGGCCTGTACTACGAAGCTGGATTTTCGCTTAGCCGGCTGACTTCAGGGAAAACTCGGGCTTTCCGGTCCTACGACGCTGGTTCTCTTTTTAGCGGGCTAGATCTCCATGGTAACTTATGCTGAGCGGCTAACCTCCTCGGGAGGAGGTTAGGTTGCAGGCTAAGAGATCAACTCAGTGAAAGCACCCCCTGCTGACCAATCAGAGCTCCGTGTGCGGAGTTTAAAGCTATCAAGTCATATTACAGGATAGAGGAAATACAGAAAAACTGCCGTTGCAGGAAAGACGGCCGGCAAAAATCAACTGACTGTGTGAACGTGAAAATGAATAGAATATCCCCTCCCATCTTCAGAGCAATCTGACTATTATAACATTAGCGTTAAGAAAGCTTACTTAAATATCTGCCACGACATAAGTAACCGGATCAGAGTAACATTAAGTACAGTCCGCGGCACTGTGAGTGCAGACGTCGATGTGTCCCATTATCATTCATATCATATCACATCATAATGTATCATATATTTCCTTATCTGAGTCAGCTTCTTGAGCCGTATCTGGCCGTGCAACACTCACAGTGTCACATACTGTATGCAGAAGTATTATTTTAAGCAACACATTCAGTTGACGAAACACTCGAGTCAAATGTAATTAAAGTCAGATCCACTCGTGTCTTGGACGGGGCAGTGATTTCATAAACCTGTTAATGTACGCATTCAAACACTTATTCTTTTACCAGCTGTATTCACCTTGCAGGTGCAGCTATGTGGCTTTTATCCTGGATAAAGTGTTTAAGTCATGGATGTTTAAAGTTTAACTTCTTCATATTTGACTAATATTATAGTTGACTTTTCATTCAGGAAGTATGACGCTGCGCTGTCAGTACGCTTGTCCGTGTTTGTGATTGGTGGAATGCTCCAAATACCACCCCTTTCATGTGAACGTGCACCTAACTAGATAGGACACGGCTGGCTTGAGCGATCCACTTGATAACCAGCGTCGTAGTACCGTTTAGCGAGAGCGCGTATGTTTTGGATTGGGCCAACCGGCTAACTCAAACATAGGTTAGGAAAATCCTGCTTCGTAGTACAGGCCTCTG